TTTCACAAAGCTTACAGAAAAAGTAAAAAAAAGACTTTTGAAACTTGTGATGATAAATATATCATAGTATTTGCGTAGAAATAAAAGTTTTTAATTAAGAAATTATATCATATATTTATATAAAAGAGAACTTTAGGCCCACCTACGTGGCGCCATCACTAGCTAGAATTTCCTTTTAAATTTATTTATTTCCAAAAATAGCCTTCCCCTTTCATGAAAAGATGTGATTTTTATAAAAAATTGTGACTTTTATGAAAAGTTGTGACTTTTAAATAAAATTGTGATTTTTATGAAAGGTTGTGACCTTTTCGAAGGGTTGTAACTTTTCCAAAGAATTGTGACATTTTCGATAAGGCACAATAAACATTTGTTCACACTACCCTTTGTTGTCTATAAATATAGGGATTTCCTCTCATTTTTAAACAACGAAAATTCTGAACTACTTCTTCTTCTTCTTCTACATAATTAAATATTCGTGTATTTTGCTTCTGTTGAGTGGCTCACTGACACTATTTGTTTTTGTATCAATATACTTGTGAATAGATTCTTTCCATCCTGAGAGGATCTATTTCTTTAAACTTCAGGTACTAGAGGGGAATAATTTCCTTAAGGAGACGTTGTACATTTAGTGGGCTCAATTTTTTCCTTTTTGTTTCATTCTATTGTTATAGATCCTGGTATATTTTTTGACAGTCATTAATTTATGCTTATGATATTAACTAGTCTTTTGGAAACGTACTATGTTGCATGTTTGTCCCTTATCAGTATTATAAAAGCTTCTAAACAAAAATTGAGTTATAAAATAGAAAATGCTATCAAGATTAATTTTATCACTTTCATTGTATTTATTAAAAAAGAAAATTCATAACAGTAGACCTGTGCTTTTGTCATTAAAGAAAAATAGGTGTAGCTAACTAAGATAATATAGTCTCTGGTACTATGAATACGTCAGTATCATATATGTGTGACTTATCCTTTATAATTTCGTGTTTAATGCTGTGTGTGTATGTCACATAGTAATTTGTAAAGAGATGCAGTGAAGGAAAACAAACTATAAATTTGGATGTACAATTAAAAATGGGAAAATGCATAAGTACCCCCCAGCCTATGCCCGAAATTCCGGAGACACACCTAACCTTTACTAAGGTCCTATTACCCCCCAAACTTAATTTATCTATACTATTCTACCCCTTTTCGGCTTACGTGGCACTATCCTTGAAAAAAATGTCAACATGCGTTGGGCCCACAAGACAGTGCCACGTAGGCCAAAAAAGGGTAGAATATTACATATAAAATAAGTTCGGGGGGTAATAGGAGCTTAGTAAATGTTAGGTGTGTCTCTGGGATTTCGGGTATAGGCTGGGGGGGTACTTATGCATTTTCCCATTAAAAATTACTAAAATTAAAATTACTCATACTATTAGAATAACTAAAATTGTAAGGGAAAAAAATACAAATATGAACACTTAATTTTATCAATTGAGAAATTCCTTTATAAACAGAGACATTTGAAATACTGAGCGCTTCTTAGCTATTTTGATTAAAACATATACGTATTTAATATAATAACATAAATAAAAAAATCAACATGTAAAAGAAGGAAGAATTAGAAAAGGATAAAATTATCGAAAATTGAAAAAAGTACTTCAAGTTACTTGGCTTCATGATACTTGATTCCTCCATTTTCAACTCCCAAAATATATAGACCTCATCATTTAAATCTCTACTTTCTCTTCTTATGTCTTCATTAATTAAATTACATAAATGATATATTAACACCATTTGTCTCTTCATTTTCTCTAATGCTTGCTTTTAAAAAAAAAAAAAAAGTAAATGTTCATTTGTTATTAAGAACACAAATGAAGAAAAAAAAAACGTTTCTGGTACATTGGGTAATTAATTTTTATTCTAAAATATTCTTTTTATATTTTGTACATTAAGCTGAAATGTGGAAAGGTTGTAATTAAAAAATAAAATAAGATAAATTCTCAAAGAAAATGAAAAGGCAACATGATCTAACTATTGAGAAGGTTAGCATTAAGTTAAGAAGATTAAAAGTTATACCAATTAAGTAGTAGACTAACATTAAAACGTTCAAATTATTATATTTTTATAGTAAATCGCACGTGTAGCCAAGTGTATCCATTTCTATAAATTTATAGTATATGACAATTGTGCTCCACATAAGTCCTTAGATATCTTATTATAATGTTTGACTTGTAAATGTTAAGTATTTATAGGATTTATGTTGCACTAAAAAATATAAATGATGGTGGATATAGGAAGATTTTTTACCAATTAGTGTTACACAGATAATTGTTAGAGTAAGACTGTTTGTTTGAAAATTAAAATAGTGATATAATTTTATTTGAATCTCATTATTCGCATGTTATTCTACCTCATTAAGTCATTATGTTTGTAACTTTTGTAACATATGGACTATTCATTTACCCAATTTATTATCGTATAATCTTCGAATTTCTCACCTGTAAATAGTGATGGTCTTACTTTGTTTTGACAACATGGGATATACAAGAAATAGAGTGAAAAAAGATGAGGAGTACTATATTGTGTTTATATTGAGATAAATTAATCTAGGTAAAAAGAGAGTTGAGACAAAGAAAAATATTCTAAGTCTTCAATTATATTCACTATATAAAAGAGAATAATTGAGTAATTTCCCTAGATAGTCACTCAAGTTTGAGAAATTACCTAGTAATATCACTTATGTTTGTTTTAGGACCTACAATATCACCCAACTTTACATATTTTCCTCAAAATATACTTGATACAAAAAAAAAAAAAATCTCTCTCCTATTGGGATGCCATGTCAATTTTCATTTTTCTTAAAAAAATTAACTTTTAAAAATAACTCATATGTTATATTCAGTAAAAAAAAAAAATATTCTTAATTATTTATCATTTTTAGTTTTTTACTTTAGCATGGTAAGAGATAGACATTTTTTTTTCTGTTATTACATTTAACATTAATTATTTTTCTAAATCATTTCTTAAATTATTCCTTCTTTAATTTCTTAAAGAATATGCAAAGTGCATAATTTTTATGGGATTTCATGTCATACTATTCTTGTTTTTTAATAATATTTTTTTAAAAAAAATTTAACTGGAAAATTTAGTTTCTACTCCTTCCATCCATCTTTACATTTTTACTTGTTCAATATTAATTTGACATATCTCTTAAGAAATAATAAAGATAACTTTACTATATCAATCTTTTAAAATAATAAATTTTATATTTTAAAAAATGCATTGACAAATGACCATAATTAATAATAAGAGTGAATTAGGAATTAAGTAATAAATTATCACTTGATTTTCTAAAGTAAACAAGTAACAAATGAATAATTATTTATAACGTAATGAATAAATAAAAATGGACAGAAAGAATAGTTACTAGAAAAAAACCCATAAAAAGAGTTAGTTGATATAATACTCTTGATTTTTTACGAGTACGTGAAAATTGTTCTCTAACATCACTTTTTTTCTTTTCTTTTGTTCACTTTTACTTGTTTTTAATGTTCACCTTGCGCATTTTATAAGAACTTAAAGAAGGAATGATTTAGAATAAATAATTAGTGTTAATCGTAATAACAAAAAATAAATATGAGTTGTTTAAAAATGTTCACTTTGCGTTGTGTAATTATTATTTTAACTGAGTATATCATTTGGGTTGATTTAAAAAGTTAAATTTTTTAATTATTAGTAAAAAAGGAATAATGTGACATAGGAGAGAAAAATATGTTTTTTTGTGTTAAGTATATTTTGAGGAAAATATGCAAAGTTGAGTGATATTGTAGTCCTAAAACAAACAAAAATGATATTATTAGGTAATTTCTCAAACATGGGTGACTATCTAGGAAAATTACTCGAGAATAATTTTATGTTGAAGAAAAATGTTTTTTTTTTTTGCGAAACTTTGAACTCTTCAATTAATCCAGAGTTGTTTGAGTTGTATGATGTTATTGGATTATTGTATTCTAGAGGGCAGGGGCGTATCGCATACGCAGAGGCGGTCACCAAATTCACGTAAATCCATGCTCCCCTCTCATGATCAATATATAGTAGTGTCAAATACAACAAAACAGAGGAAGTGATATAAAGGGAGCAGAATATTGGAAGTATGATTAATTTTCTTATCTTTTTCCTTTGTGGCAGACTAGTGAGGATGATTAATTTTCTTATCTTTTTCCTTTGTGGCAGACAAGTGAGGAGGCCCCACTGTAATTGATTCATGCTTTTGCTTTCTTGACTTTTTGGAATAATACTATGCATCATATTTGGTCTTAATTGTTCCTCTTTTATTTCCAGAATTTTGAGCTCTATAGATCTAATAACAAAGCAAGCAGAGGATATATAGTTTCATCAACTAAAAAGGTTAGTCAATTCATCTAATAGTTTGTTTCATATTTGCTACTCTCATCTCTACTGAAGTACAATTATGGAAAAGTAAAAATGATGTAAGGAAAATGAAAGAACTTTGGTAGGTTAGTTGGATCAATAAAGGGAAACAAAATGCAAGAGAAAGAGAGAGAGCTAAATACTTGCTCACACCACCAATTTACAACAAATCAATAGATACATGACATTATCACTTTAATTGTGGTTAGTTAATGTATACTTTCACCTCATTAAATTATTACTTACTCATGATAAGTTGTATTAGTTTGGTACTAATATCTGGTGCGGGCGAATTCTTACCGGGTGAGAGGGAGGGGGTTGGAGAGTGTGTAGTGAATAGAAGCAGATCTTTTCTAAGATGACAAAAGATTCCCCTCACTAATGAAAATATATTACCATACGCTATTAGAAATCGCAAGTGTACCTTTATCATCTTCCACTAATTAAGACCTCCTCTTAAGTTCGCTTGAAAATAGTGAAATTATTGATTATTCTTAACATTTCATCTTCTTTCTCCTGATAAAGTTTTATGTACTTTTTATGCATCAGGTCTTGAGAACTTGGAAAGGAAAAGTAGAATCATGGGAAAACGAAAAGATAATGAAGAAGCAAACAACTCATTGGTATGTTATTTGATAGAGTGAACTGTAAAGTATTGAATTGTAGATATCATGTGGCTTTAAAATTTTGGTATGTGTTATTTTTGCAGGTGTCATTTTCTGCTCTTCGCAAGGACGTTGCCAATATTCTGGAGAGATTAAAGAATGAAGAAGATCAAAAGGCTGTTGAAAGCCTGAAATTGAAGCTCACATTTATTTCTACATATGTCCAGCTTTCTTATTCCGATTTGGAGCAGTTTGAAGATATAATGACTAGAAAAACACAAGAGGTTGAGAATCTGCTTCAACCAATTTTGGATGATGATGGCAACAACGTTGGGTGTAAATATGTCCTTACTAGCCTCGCCAGTAATATGGATGACTGTATCAGCTCTCATCATCGTTCTTATAAATCAGATGCCACCATGATGGATGAGCAATTGGACTTCCTCCTCTTGAATCTCTATCATCTATCCAAGCATCGTGCTGAAAAGATGTTTCCTAGAGTGAGTCAATATGAGGTTCTTCAGAATGTATGTGGCAACATAAGAGATTTCCATTGGTTGATAGTGAATGGTTGCATTAAACATGAGATGGTTGAGAATGTCTTACCTCTGTTTCAATTGATGGCTGAGAGAGTAGGACACTTCCTTTGGAATGATAGAGACTCTCGACTCTCCGAGCTAGATGAGGATGATCAGGCTGATGAAGACTCTCAACTCTCCGAGCTAGATGAGGATGATCAGAATGATAGAGACTCTAGACTCTTCAAGCTAGCACATCTACTCTTGAAGATTGTTCCAACTGAACTGGAGGTTATGCACATATGTTATACAAATTTCAAAGCTTCAACTTCAGCAGAAATTGGACGCTTCATTAAGAAGCTCCTGGAAACCTCTCCAGACATTCTCAGAGAATATCTGATTCATCTACAAGAGCACATGATAACTGTTATTGGCCCTAGCACTTTAGGGGCTCGAAACATTCATGTCATGATTGAGTTCCTATTAATTATTCTTTTTGATATGCCCAAGGACTTTATTCATCATGACAAATTATTTGATCTTTTGGCATTTGTTGGAGCACTTATCAAAGAGGTATCAACTCTTGTTCGCGACTTAGAAGAGAAATTAAGGAATAAAGAGAGCACCGATGAGACAAATCGTGCAACCCTAGACTTGCTGGAAAATATTGAATTCCTCAAGGAAGATCTCAAACATGTTTATCTGAAAGTCCCGGATTCATCTCAATGTTGCTTCCCCATGAGTGATGGACCGCTCTTCATGCATCTACTACACATACATTTGAATGATTTGCTGGATTCCAATGCTTATTCAATTGCTTTGATAAAGGAAGAAATTGAGTTGGTGAGACAAGACCTGGAATTCATAAGATCGTTCTTTGTGAATGTTGAGCAGGGATTGTATAAAGATCTCTGGGAACGTGTTCTAGATGTGGCTTATGAGGCAAAAGATGTCATAGATTCAATTATTGTTCGAGATAATGGTCTCTTACATCTTATTTTCTCACTACCCATTACCATAAAGAAGATCAAGCTTATCAAAGAAGAGGTCACTGATTTACATGAGAACATTTCCAAGAACAGAGGACTCATCGTTGTGAACTCTCCCAAGAAACCAGTTGAGAGCAAGTCATTGACAACTGATAAAATAATTGTAGGTTTTGAGGAGGAGACAAACCTGATACTTAGAGAGCTCACCAGAGGACCGGCAGAACTAGATGTCATTTCGATCACTGGTATGCCGGGTTCAGGTAAAACTACTTTGGCATTCAAAGTATACAATGATAAATCAATTTCTTTTCATTTCGACCTTCGCGCATGGTGCACAGTCGACCAAGAATATGACGAAAAGAATTTGTTGAATAAGATTTTTAATCAAGTTAATGGCTTGGATTCAAACTTGATTGAGAATATTGATGTTGCTGATAAGCTACGGAAACAACTGTTAGGAAAGAGGTATCTTATTGTCTTAGATGATGTGTGGGATACTACTACGTGGGATGAGTTAACAAGACCTTTTCCTAATGGTATGAAAGGAAGTAGAATTATTTTGACTACTCGAGAAAAGGAAGTGGCTTTGCATGGAAAGCGCTACACTGATCCTCTTGAGCTTCGATTGCTAAGATCAGAAGAAACTTGGGAGTTATTAGAGAAAAGGGCATTTGGAAACGAGAGTTGCCCTGATGAACTATTGGATGTTGGTAAAGAAATAGCCAAAAATTGTAAAGGGCTTCCTTTGGTGGCTGATCTGATTGCTGGAGTCATTGCTGGGAGGGAAAAGAAAAAGACAGTGTGGCTTGAAGTTCAAAATAATTTGAGTTCCTTTATTTTGAACAGTGAAGTGGAAGTGATGAAGGTTATAGAATTAAGTTATGACCATTTGCCACATCACATCAAGCCATGCTTTCTTTACCTTGCAAGGTTTCCGAAGGACACTGCAATAACAATATATACATTGAATGGTTTATGGCTTGCTGAAGGATTTGTGGAACAGACAGAGATGAAGAGTGTGGAAGAAGTGATAAAGGTTTATGTGGATAACTTAATTTCCAGTAGCTTGGTAATTGCTTTCAATGAGATAGGTGATTACCCAACTTTCCAACTTCATGATCTTGTGCATGAATTTTGTTTGATAAAAGCAAGAGAGGAAAAGTTGTTTGACGAGATAAGTTCAAGTACACCATCTTCTTCTTCAGATTTGATGCCACGTATAGTGACCATTCATTATAACAGCAAGTTATTGGGGCTTAACAATTTGTTTGATTCAAATAAGAAAAGGCATTCTGGTAAACACCTGTATTCTTTGAGCATAGATGTAGATCACAAGCTGGCCGACAGTGTTTCTGATACATTTCATCTAAGACATTTGAGGCTTCTTAGAACCTTGGAACTGCATACCTCTTTGATCACGGTGAAAGATTCTTTGCTGAATGAAATATGCATGTTGAATCATTTGAGGTACTTAAGAATTGGGACACAAGTTAAATATCTGCCTTTGTCTTTCTCAAACCTCTGGAATCTAGAAACTCTGGTAGTTCAAAACAACGGAACAACCTTGATACTATTACCGAGAATTTGGGATCTTGTAAAGTTGCAAATGCTGATTGTGAGTGAGTGTTCTTTCTTTGATATGGATGCAGATGAATCAATATTGATAGCAGAGGACACAAAGTTAGAGAAGTTGAAAATATTAGTGGGACTCATTCTTTCCTATTCGAAAGATACAGAGGATATTTTCAAAAGGTTTCCCAATCTTCAATTGCTTGAGTTTGATCTCAAGGAATCATGGGATTATTCAACAGAGCAATACTGGTTCCCAAAATTGGATTGCCTAACTGAACTAGAAAACCTCATTGTAGGTTTTAAAAGTTCAAACACAAACGACAGTGGGTCCTCTGCAGCCATAAATCGGCCATGGAATTTTTACTTCCCTTTGAATCTGAAAAAACTGCGTCTGTTTGACTTTCCTCTGACATCCAATTCACTATCAACAATTGCGAGACTGCCCAACCTTGAAGACTTGTACCTTGGTACAATCATCCATGGGGAAGAATGGAACATGGAGGAGGAAGACACCTTTGAGAATCTCAAATATTTGAAGTTGCATGAAATGACACTTTCCAAGTGGGAGGTTGGAGAGGAATCCTTCCCCTCCCTTGAGAAATTAAAACTGCAGGGATGTCATGAGCTTGAGGAGATTCCACCTAGTTTCGGGGATATTAGTTCATTGAAAATTATCAAACTTGTAGAGAACACTCAACTTGAAGATTCTGCTATGAAGATTAAGGAATATGCTGAAGATATGAGGGGAGGAGACGAGCTTCAAGTCGTTGGCCGGAAGAATATCCTGTTATTTAAGTAGCATTATATGTGAACAGGTTCTTCTCCATTCTTTTGCTGTTCTAATTCCTGTGTTTTATGAAAGTCTCAACTGAAACTAAATAGAAATATCATTGTTATAAACAAGTTTGACTATATTTGAGAAATATATTTGAGTAGTGGAAGATGATAAATTCTAGCCTTTGACAATGTATTTGGTCAACATACCTGTCATTTTTTTATTTAATTAAGAAACTTAAAGGGCATTTTCATAATCCAACTTTAGAGTTAGGATCTTCCTATTTTTAATATAATATGATAGATCTTGAAACAAAAAAATATTCTAAAGTTACTTTCACAATTATGGAGGTAATTTCAAAGTGTTTAAATAGAGAAATGCGGAGGGAATAAAAAAATAACTACAATCTACAGGTATATAAAATCTTTCATTTCATTTCTTGTAATTTTCTCTTACTTTTTTCACTTTTAAAGTGAGGCATGTGATGTATCATAGAAATATAATGCGAATGGAGTTCGACCAATTCTATAAATTTATATAATCAAATTATATTGCTTTTTTTCTATGTTGTAGTAACAGTTATACATAAAGTTAAAAAGAACAAATTTTAAGAGACTCACAATTTTTTTCAATCCATAATTACTTTTGTTAATACAAAATTGTTTAAATTAACATACTATCAAATATGTTGCTAGTGTAATTGAAAAACATAAGTATTGGTTATTGTAAGAATATTGTTGACCCTTTTTTTGTAAATGTATAAAATGATATGGAAAATTAATTGAGCAACTTCTTATAATATATTCCCACTATTCATATAAAATAACGGTAGTTTCAAAGAATAATTTGTTTTAACTTCTTAATTTTCTCTTTGAATGATGCATATGACGGGATAAAATCATAAGTACATGTTTTGTCTATATATCAATCTCTTGTTTGTAAACATTATAAGAAGAAAAAGAATTCACTTGAAATTATCATAAGTAGGAACAATTAAAAAAGGGAAAATGCATAAGTACCCCCCCAGCCTATGCCCGAAATCCCAGAGACACACCTAACCTTTACTAAGGTCCTATTACCTACCCGAACTTAATTTATCTATAATATTCTACCCCTTTTCTGCCTACGTGGCACTATCTTGAAAAAAATGTCAACATGCACTGGGCCCACAAAGATAGTGCCACGTAGGCTAAAAAGGGGTAGAATATTACATATAAAATAAGTTCGGGGGGGTAATAGGACCTTAGTAAAGGTTAGGTGTGTCTCTGGGATTTCAAGTATAGGCTGGAGGGGTACTTATGCATTTTCCCATTAAAAAATCACAGTTATGAAGATAAATTTAAAAAATACGTGGCAGTGGAGTCCTAATGGCGCTTACGTGGCATGCAATGTGGCATCCACATGGCATCAACATGGCATTTAACAACTTCCGTTAATAAGAAGGGTACTTTTGACCCAATAGTACGACGGGAAGGGTAGTTTTAAGCCGGAATATAGTTTAAGGGTAAATATGAGCTATTTCGGATAGTTTAGGGGTAATTAATTTAAATAAAAATAAAAATATATTTAATAATATTATAACATATTTTTTGCGGTTATGAATTTGAAAAGACATAGAAATAATAGAGATTATTAAAAATAAGTGTCAGGAAGATGATAATGTGTGAGTTAAAGGCACAAGATTAATGAATATTATTAGAATATAAGTTGTGAAAATGAAAAGGTGTAGTTATGAAGTTGATTTCTATAATAAGATAATTTTTAAAAAATAAAAAATACTTTAAAGTAGATTTTTGTGCTATTTATTAAATGAAAATAATAATTTTTTAAAATGATTTTAAGAAAATAAATTATTAATAGTAAAGGTGTATTTTTGTAATCCAACTTTTGACTTAGATTCTTCTCAGTTTTGGTAATATATGATATGATATATGATAGAAATGTGGCTTTGGTCTTTCGGCAGGTGTCATTTTCTGCTTTTCGCAAGGACGTTGTCAATGTTGTGGATATCATGGAGAGGTTAAAGAATGAAGAAAATCAAATAGCTCTTGACGTGGATCTAATTAGAGATCTGATATTTGCGCTGGCATTAATTTGTGCAAACGTCTTGCTTTCTTATTCCGATTTGGAGCAGTTTGAAGATGTAATGACTTCGATAAGAGAACAGGTTAAAGATCTGTTTCAATCAATTTTAGTTAAGGTTGACAGCAAATACAACATGCCTCAAGTCATTGGTAGCCTCCTGGATAATATCGATGATTGTATCAGCTCATGTCCTCATTCTACATCCATGACTGAGGAGGAGTTGGACTTCCTCCTCCTGAATCTCCATCATATATCCAAGTTTCTTGCTGAGAAGAAGTTTCCATTAGTGACTCAGTATGAGATTCTTCAGAATGTGTGTGGCAACGTAAGAGATTTCCATGGGTTGATAGTGAATGGTTGCATTGAGCACGAGAGTGTTGACTATGTCGTCTTACCTCAATTTCAACTCATGGCTGAGAGAGTAGGAATCTTTCTTTGGGAGTGTCATACACAGTCTGAGCTAGATGAGGATGATCAGACTGATAAACACTCTCACGTCATCATGTTAGAACATCTACTCTCGAAGATTGTTCCAATTGAATTGGAGCTTATGCACATATGTTACACAAATTTGAAATCTTCAACTTCAGCAGAAGTTGGACGCTTCATTAAACAGATTCTGGAAACATTTCCAGACATTCTTAGAGAATATCTGATTCATCTACAAGAGCACATGGTAACTGTAATCAACCCAAGCATTTCAGGAGCTTGAAACATTCACGTCATGATGGACTTCCTGTTGATTATTCTTACTGACATGCCTACCGACTTGATTCATCATGACACATTTTTTGATCTCTTGGCACATGTTGGAGCACTTACCAGGGAGGTATCAAATCTTGTTTGGGACTTAGAAGAGAAAGCAATGAAGAAAGAGAGTACCACTGAAACAAATCGTACAACACTAGACTTGCTAAAAGATATTGAACTCCTCAAGGAAGATCTCAAATATGTTTATTTGAAAGTCCCGGATTCATCTCAATGTTGCTTCCCCATGAGTGATGGACCTCTCTTCATGCATCTGCTAAAGAGACACTTAAATGATTTGCTGGATTCTAATGCTTATTCAATTGCTTTGATAAAGGAAGAAATTGGGCAGGTGAAACAAGACCTAGAATTCATAAGATCTTTTTTCGTGAATTTTGAGGAAGAGTTGTATAAAGATCTATGGGCACGTGTTTTAACTGTGGCATATGAGGCAAAAGATGTCATTGATTCAATTATTGATTCAAAAGTTGTATAAAGATGAATAGTAACTAAGACGTTATTTGTCATTTGGCAGCAGAAGTATAAAGCTGACTGAAACTTACAGCAGCCCACTGAGACAGGTACAAGGCCTTGCTCTGCCAAGGATACATTTGGTCCCCGAGCAAATGGATTAGAAGAAAATACCCTAAGCTCTTGAAGTTTCTTACGCAATTTCCTCAAGACTGCTATCTTCAATGTAATCTAGTACCTGCAATTACATCTACTCCAAGTGCCTTGAAGCGTAAGCTGGATAACCAACTAATCAAAGGAACTCGAAGAGTTTCAAAAGAGTCTACTAGAGTATTAAGAAGCAAGAGTCCCTGTATTTCTTCATCAAACTTTACACTCATTCCGGATAGCTGGTCAAGGACACCCTGAAAACATTTATATGATCTGAAATAGGATTGGTCTCTCTATATATCTGATATCCATCAATTGTTTCAGCAGGAACAACTTGTTATTGCTAGTCTTCGAAGCATAATATGTCTCAAGCTTATCCCATTAGCTTCTAGCATGTGTCTCATTCACAATGTGTTTTCTAACATTATCTTCAATCCATTGTTTGATATAGCCACAAACCTGCAGATGCAAATTTTCAATCCTCATCATTCATAGACTCGGGTTTAATTTATTAGAAGCAAACACAAGTAGATGTATTTTCTTAACAAATAGAAGACCATTCATCTTGCCTTTCCACATATGATAATTACTACCATTCAAACACATCATCTTTCTCATATTTGACTCCATCATACAAATAGGCAATCAACAAAGTATCAAACAATGAGCAACACAACTATAAGATAGCACCAAAAATTAGAGAAGTAAAAGGAGTAAAATCAACATAAATTATTATATATTGGCATGAACCTGCAGGATTGAGAGATGAAAGAATTTCAGAATTTGCATTGAGTAGTTGTATGGGCTTGATACACCCACCATACAACTCATCAGATGTATGGAGTTGGAGGAATAGTGGAGAGTGGAGACAGATTATTCAATAGGCATAATACATAAGTATGCCCTTTAACTTGGTCGGATTTCACATTTATATGCCCTCCAACTTTGGGTGTGCACAAGTAGACATTTAAGGTTGTATAAAGTTAAGCAAAAAAACACACACGTCCTACGTGATTACATGACAATTTGTGTCCTACGTGGTGTCCATTATGCCACATAAGACTCAACACATAAATTGTATCTTATCGTATGAAGGGTTTCTCGTTGTTGTCATCCCACATGCATGCAAGTACACATGGTCAAATAAGTACTTCCTCTTTTGCATTTTGTTTGTTATTGTTTGAGTTTTCACAAAGCTTAATTTAGAAGAAAAATAAAAGTACTTTTGAAACTTATGATCATAAACGTTTCAAGTATTTGTGTGGATATAAAACTTTTAACTAAAAAATTATAAGAATGTTAATATTTTTTGGACAGGGAAATAAGAAAACATTGTCAAATAAAAAGGATGAAGTGAGCAGAATATTGAAAACTTGATTAATTTTCTTATCTTTTGCCTTTGTGGCAGACAAGTGTGGCCCCATTCTAATTGATTCATGCTTTTGGAATAATACTATGCACCATTTTTGGTCTTAATTATTCCTCTGTTTATTTCCAGAATTTTGAGCTGTATTGATCAAATAACAAAGCAAGCAGAGGATATAAAGTTTCATCAACTAAAAAGGTTAGTC